GTGGGCAACATCAGCACCAGCTGCACGAACCTGGAGCTGCGGTCCAAGTTTGAGGAGTACGGCCCCGTGCTTGAGTGCGATATCGTGAAAGATTATGCCTTTGTGCACATGGAAAGAGCTGAGGATGCCGTCGAGGCCATCAGAGGCCTCGACAACACGGAATTCCAAGGTGGGAAGTGGGGCTAAGGTGGGGCGTGGAAGCTGGAAGGCCGCCAAAGTTTCCCCCCCTTCTGGCTTTCCTCCCCAAGAGGAGGTTATTTTCAGAGCTCCCAAGGGGGCCACTGCTGGTAATGTTTTTTCCGCTGGTTCACTTCCATCCAGTGTTGGAGATCTGATGCCAGCTACAGGTAGTCCTTCACTTACAATAATTCAATTAGTGATGGTTCAGAGTTACAGCGGCCCTGAAAAAAGTGACTTATGACCGTTTTTCACACTTAATGACCATGGAAACATCTCCATAGTCACGTGATCCAAATTCAGATAGCAATAGCACTTAGACTTATATATTGCTTCACAGTGCTTTATGGCCTTCTCTAAACGTTTAACCGAGTCAGCCTCTTCACACACACACACACCCCTCCAACCATCTGGGTCCTCCTCATTTTACTGACCTCGTGAGGATGGAAGGCTGAGTCAACCTTGAGCCGGTCAGAATCGAACTGCTGGCAGTCGGCAGAATTAGCGTGCTCTACTGCATTGTAACCACTGTGCCACTGGCAATTGAGTCATATTATGATGGTTGCAGTGTTTCGGGTTCATGTGATCACCTTTGGGACCTGACAAACAAAGTCATGGGGAAGCCAGATTCATTTAACAACTAGCTTAACAGCTGCAGTGATTCGCTTAACAGCTGTGTCAAAGAAGGTTTTAAAATGGGACAACGTTCCCTTAACAAATGTTTCACTTAGCAACAAAAAATATTGGGTTCAATTTTGTTTAAGATTTGACTTGCTGCTTGTTAGAAAGGAGATACAGTTTCGTCCAAATTGGGACTGAAAAACAAGGCCAGGAATAATTGTGTATGAGAGTTTTGAGGCTCACGAGATTAATAATCTTTCTCTTTACTACGGTAATATTCATTGAATGCTTAAAGGACTGCTGTTAAGACAATGAAAGCCACAGTAAATTATATAAATGCTGTATCAGTGGATGCAGCAAATATATTAGAAAAAGACTACTTAAAATTCAAAGGCTTTCCCCTTCGTCATTAGAGCAGAAAAGATAAAGGACTTCTTTATTGGCCCCTTTTTAAAAGACTTTTAGAACAAGCAACACCACAGGGATTGTCTATACTTAACAGCTTTTGTTGATTTAATTGATAATATGCAGAGTGGTTGATCCAAATTGTTTCGATTGGTGGTTGGCTTCATGTGATGCTTGGCCTTGGGTTATTTTGAGCAGAGTTTATCGAGTAAACCTTAGTTGCCTGGACCTGCGCAGGATGCCAAGCTAATGGCTAGGTTCAGACAACCTAGTCTGAATGTCAGGCTCAGGAAATCAAGAGTCCAGGCAGTTCAATTGAATATATAGGTTTTATTGCACGCTAAAGCTCTCTACAAGAATCTGAGTTAGTAAAGGTCAAAGCAAGTTGGCGGTAGATAAGAGTCAACAGAATTCAAGGCGGGCTGGCCTTAGATCTCTTGTGGGAGTGAAGGGACTCGAGACTGATGACGTGTCTGACCCCTCCTTTGGGCTCATCCTGGTCATCTTCCATACTGGCTTAGAAACAAGGCAATTGGCAGGTGAGATATTGAAGGATATCAATCAGTCAGTTTCTCGGGGCCTCTGACAAGAG